GACGTTCTCTATCCAGCAGTGAAAACCGCATGTCTTCGTTCAAATGTGATAAGCATTCTGCCGAGCCGTCTCGTTTTCAGAAAAGAATAATAACTTTGAGTGTAATAACCGATAGTAGTTTTTGGATACTATAAACAAATGTTTTCGCGTGATATTTATTTTGTATATAAATGAAAAAATGCTAAATTTTGCGTCCAACCACCGTTGAATAACTAAAAATTAACTTACCTTCAACTACTTTCAATAAACTTCCTTCCTTTAAATTATCAATATTTTTTAATTCCGTAAAATTATCTAATACAACATTGTCTAATTGTAGAGAAAAACATGTTCGATGACATGTTTCTTCCTTATCCATTAATACCTGATGAATTTCTTGCACAAGTTCACTTGAGGTCACCTGAAATAATAGGAAAACTAAAAAGGTAAAAGAAGAATTAATTATGTCGAAATTTATAATTTGAGTTACTCAGTGATCTTTAACCATCACCATAAAAGAACATCGATTTAAAAGAGCTGCTTAATCTTTTTAAATTTCATTTTAATTCGCATATTTGAGAATCAATTAATCAGAATATTTTGAAAAGTCTTTTGTTGGCAGAAACGATCAATGTCAACTAAAAGAAATTTTTTAACTAAATTAAATCATTGTAACTTTATGAAATACATTCGATGAAAATATTCTTTAGTATAAAAAATGATTAAAGAGAAAAAATACTATTACGGCCGATAAGTTACATTTAGTTACGGTTTTATTGTAGATAATAATTTCCACTTACCGGCAAATCAAATACATCTAGTTGTGGCGCTTGTATTCTAATATTGAATGATATTTCTTGTACTACAGCTAAATTATCAGTTGTTCCATTTATCGTTGATGGTGTGACTGTCGTAATAGAAGACGATGACGACTGAGACGTAGTCGTTGTCTCTGAATGATCGATCGACAGCGTACTCGTATTATTATTATTATCGTCATAATCTGAATTTTCTCGATCTTTATTATCGACTCTAGAACTATCGTCTGATGTTAATTTCGACATGGTTGTCGTTTCTTCGTCATAATTGGTCGTATGTCCGTTACAATGTCCATTTAATTGAATCGATGGTAGTAACGTTTGCTGATCTGAAGTGGGTGGTGGCGACATTGTTTTTAATGATGCTGTTAATTTTTGTTGTTCAATATCTGTGTCTAGTCCACCCGGTTTCATTTATTCTAGAATACACATGTTTAGTTTAAATGATGAGTTAATACCTTTGTTTTAGTACATCATGTGCACTGATACATTATATCTATCTATATATACATAGACAACATGAATATATGTAGAAAATATGCAGAGAAAAGTGAGAAAGAACAAATGTTTTAATAGAACTCTTTCTATTGTATATAGTTGACACATTGTCACATTTTTTTTCTCAGTGTCTTAAAAGCAGTTTAAAGAAAAATAAAATCACTTTTCAGATGTGATACGAGCCCTAGATGATAAATGCTTATTACGTAACAGTTTTAGGCAGATATAAATTATCTACATAGTTATAGTAAATCAAAATAATTAAGAAATGACCTATGAACTAAATGATTATAGACATTTTCATTCGATGATATATTGAACTAAAAATAACTATTTTTATAACACCAAATTGCCAAATAATTTGTGCCACTGAGATAGTTTAAAAGTAGGATATAGTAAATGTTAAAACTGGAAATATGCATAAGACAACAATTTGAATCGTGCTATACTGAAAATATAATTGACATCATTATTATCAACTATCGACACTTTTTCTTAAAATGAATACAACACAAGTTGAAATTTCAGTTAGGTTTTCTGTCTTACAATGCTCTTATAAAGTTCGATGGATTTTTAACATGAAAAAGATGTATCATCATCACACTAACTATGTATTTTGCTGAATCGTGTCCCCCTAGGTGGAAAACGACGTTCTAAATATCAACTGTTACTAAGAGACCATCAGAGAAAAATGAAAATAGAATAGAAAGAAATGTAAGATCTCAAGAGACTTATTTTAGAAATTAATAATATCGACATTAGCTCTTTTCACACCCGAAAAAGAAAAAAACTTGATAGTATAAAGTTGAAGACAGAGCAACATAATCTGAACAGTTACAGCAGATTCTATCAGGTGGTCCAGAAATAACTGATAATTTTTGAAAGCTAAACTTCTCTAACCGAACCAATGCTTCATAGTCTCATGTTGTTTTATAAACAAAAGATGTAGAATTTATTTCTCTACAAAACTGTATATATGATTGTGAAATTAGTTGAGTTTTCTCGACATACTATTTGAAGTATTAGAGTGGATCAAGTTTTAAGACTTTCCTACCTATACACCTGCTCATATCACGCTTTTTTTTAAAATATCGCCGATTAGTTCAAGTATCACGGTTACCGCGCGGTAACCATTTTTTTCTATTCACCGTTTTGTTTTGCAGCCGTAGAAGTATATAAGAAACATCGAAAAACTTTCTATTTCAGATTATCTTTTTTGTTTCTGTTTTTTAGATTCACGACTCGTCGAAGTGTGAACTTTGATTTCAGTAAATTTCCTTCTAGAGAGCCTTCTTGCCTTTTGAGCGCTAGGCAAAATGATCAAAAAGAAAATAAAGTTTGAAAACAGTTTCGAACTTTCGTCCTACGAGTTTATAATGAGAAAAAATAATCGCGGTTTAAAGAAAACACCGCACGGTAATCGCGGTAACCGGGCAGTTATTTTTGCGTTTACGTAACCGGCGGTATTTGCCGGTATTAAGTACATGGGTGTTCGCTTTTCTTGGTACTCGAACAAATGTATACGTGGGAAAGTCTTGAAAATTGGTTCAGTCTAATACTTTAGATGGTATGTCGAGAAAACTCAACTAATTTCGCAATTAAATATAGTTTTGTAGAAAAATAAATTCTACATCTTTTGCTTATAAAACAAACATTGCTTCGGTTAGAGAAGTTTAGCTTTCAGAAGTTATCAGTTATTTCTGGGCTATCTCATAACTATTTACACAGTGCAGAGAACAAGTAACGATTTACTATCAAAAGTTGAAATTCGAGTAGTATTGAAATAAAAAGAGTTTTTTATATTTTTGCTCGATAATCGACTCGTGCTCAAGAAAACTTTTTCGCTTCAAAAAAAAATTAAATTGATTAATTAAATTAAGTAATATACTTCACATGCTGTTTGAGATTGAGAAAGAAAATACGGAGGAAGATTGGATTGACTATCATTGTAAGAAAAAAGAAGAAAAAAATGGCAAAAAAAAGAAAAAAATTATTAAATTATAGATTATTATTATATATATATTGCTAAACAAGAAAACAAATGAAGATAGAATTGAACTAAGATGTTGAAGTTTCAGTACCAAAAAAAGAGTGGAAAGTATTAATAGTTCAATCTATAAATGAAAGGTTACTGAAATAAGAATAGATTAAAAAATGAAAAAGTGCATACTGAAAAATCTAATATGTACAAATTTATTTAGCTTTTTTTTGGAAGAAAAATATTCATCCAGCTCTGGTTCGGTGAAAATGCAAAGCTATCGCATAGCTACGTTAATCATAGATTGTTTTCTTTTTTCTTTCTTTCATCGCATGTATTTGTTTTCGTGAATAGACTGTATAGATAACATGTGCAAGTATAAAAAGAAAAAAAAACGTGGCAAATTGAACTCCATTCGATATCTTCGTTCTTCCTGATAAACTGTTTGCTATCTCTATCCCTCAAATCATTTTTTCTCTCTCACATCAACGAAGAAAAAGAAAATTTTAAATTTGCATTTTAAACAAAAGAAAAGTGTACTATTGATAAACATATCTATCTAATGCTAAACTCTAACTATTTGCGACTATTTATTTTATTTTAATACATTAAAAATCGATAATATTTCTGAAATTTTAACGTTGAAAAACTACTGTAAAATTTAATCAGAGTCAAATAAACTTAATTTAGAATATCTTATTCAATCTATATAATATAAACAACAAAATGTGATTTTCCCGATGTAACGTGAGGGGTGTGCTTTGTTTGTTACCTGTTTATATATTTTACACACTTCGACGAAGACACATAAGTCTGTTATAAGTGTAGTATAGTATGTATAACAAAAAAAAAATAAAAAGAACGCAAAAAGAAAACGGGACTATATAGATACAGAATAGCGAAGATAAACTGTAAATGTAAGTAAGATTGCTGTTTAGAACAAAAAAAAAAAAAGAAAGAAAGAATGATGCAGGCAAAGTACGTATATTAATAAACAACAACAACATAGTCTAAAGTTCATTGATTTCTTTTCTTTTATGTAGTAGTGCACAGCGTATGTCATTGGACGAATATAAAGAAAATAAAATAATAAGAGAATAATAAATATTTTATAAACAATTAACTGAAAATCGTTTTTGTTGAGTTTTTACAAACTTTTTCGAAGAAAAACAGAAGCTACTCCTAGGTAAATTTATAAAAGAAAATCTAACATATTTATTTTGAACATTCAGATTTCCTAATGTAATTTGTAGTCAATAGTGCGATCAGATATCATACACAAGACATTTTAACTCTAATGTTATCCTCATGTGGGGGAGGACTTTTAACGTCAAAGAAAGTCAAAAATTCTCTAAGAAGTACTCTATATGTATTTGTTTTCATTTTATTAGCTTAAAAATATTTCATAAAGATTTTCTCAAAAACTAAAAGAATTCAAATCCAATAACTGAACCGTCTATCTATACAAACAAAATATTGTATTTTTTTTATTTTTATCTAGAGTTAGTACTTATAATACAAAGTTAAGTTGACATAGTTTTCTTATTTTTATTTTTTCACTTCATTTTTCCCCCTTCAATGTCACTTTATATATTTGTACACGCTATTCGACACGAAGATGTTGTTCTGTCCTTGAATATTTCGACAATTATATAATGTTTATTCTCTTTACACTTTGTCATCATCATTATTGCCATATTAAGATTAGATTGCCTCAACATCTATATAGAAGAACATGTACATCTAGAGAACAATTTTTCTATCGCTCAAAAAAGAGAAAACAGAAAAGAAGATAACTAAACAAGAAAATCATTCATTCTATTTTCCAAATAAAGAAATAGAAAAAAATAGACTAATTGATTCATATGATGTAGAAATCTAATTCTTTCACATATGTTTTCCATCTGAACGTCATTGAATTACAATATATATTTCTAACAGTACTATTCATTAATTAGAAGAAAAAAAAGTTACTTAAACTAGAATTATGACATAAAATGTACACTAAATTACAAGTATCTCACAAAATATCATTCTAATTTTATTTAATATTATGAATTTTTCTACTAAAAAGAAAGATTTATTTTTGTTGTTGTTTTTTTTTTTGGTAATGCAAATATTTTATCAGGATTAACTTGAAAATGAAAGACAATATTCATTTACTCTATAATAAACTTGTCTCTTTCTGTTAATCATAAAATAAGTCTTATCAATTAAAGAAGAAAAAATCATTGTCGAAAATGTCAGATCTGATCACTACAACACAATATGTTCGAATAGTAGTTCTCTCTCTTTTTTACATTGTACATGAATGATTTTTATTAAACATTATGATTACTATACAACATAAACATATATATATATATATATATTGTATATAGCAATCTACAAAGAGAATATATTTATTTCTCAAAAAAACAAAAAAAGAACAACAATCATTATCCAACTATAGAAAACGAAAATAAAAACACTTCGGGTATTTTGTTAGTAAGAAAATGGTTAATGTTAATTAATAAATGCTTGAGAAAGCGAACTATATGTACGTACGATGGTCGATATTAAGAGAAAAGCAAAAAAATATTTTTGTACTCAAAAACATAAAAAAAAAAAGAGAAAAAAAAAATTAATTTAACAATCATAACAATAACACTGATTTTTATTACTCAAAACGAGAATTGAGGCATACTTTATGGTGATCATATCTGTTTAGAACAATCAATCAAGTGTATCTACTAACACACCATGTCAAAACGTGCTGTGCATTAAAAGACAAAAAAAAGAATTAACTAACAAAGATTAGATTGATGAATAAATTTCAAGAAAATCTTTTCTTTTGCTTATTAAACTTAACTTAATTCAATGAAAAAATAATAAATAAGTTAGATAGAAAATCAGAGAGATTGGAACAATAGTTGAACAACATTCGTATATCTCTCAC